ACTACGAGAAAAATCATCAATTATGGTTAAAAAATATTTAGCACCAGAAATTGAAGAAACGGAATAAGGTCCCCAAACATCACAATGTATTAAATCGAAGCAAGCATTTGTTGATATAGAGCTTAAAGGAAAAGAAAGCCGACAATGTTTAGCCAAAGGGCAAATAGTGCAAGCATGATTATTATCAAAAGAAATTTTTGAATTCAAACTTTGTAAATAAGGAAGAGTACACTTGGATGGATGTCCTAAGCGCCAGTGCCACAGACTAAAATTTGGGGAAGAGACAGCAGAATTAGCAATGGAAGGCACATCGGGGGCTAGGTAATAAAGACCACCACGTTCCTTGCCCTTACCAATCAACCTCTTCGAATTCAAGTCCTACAAAACACAATGATCAGAATAAAAGGTAATGGAGCAATTAAGTAGTTTAGTGATTTTGCTAACAGACAAAAGATTGAATCGAAAATTGGGGACTAGGAAAACATTTTTTAGAGGCAAGGATGGTAAAGGTGTGGCAGAGCCAATATGAGTGATGTTGGATGTTTGTCCTGTTGGCAATTTGATGGGTGCAGTGTTAAGTGTGGTCATGCTTTCTAAAAAATTAGCATAGGAAACCATATGATCTGTGGCACCGGAATCGATGATCCAAGAACCAATATTGAAAGATGAATTAAAACATAATGGGTTACCTGCCAGATTGGCTACAGAATTATTTTTACCATAGGGTAACAAGGCAATAAGCTGACTATATTGTTCTGAAGTCAGCGATGGTGCAGCCAATGTGTTGGTGGTCATAGCAGCAAAGGAACCAGTACAAGCAGTACTCGAAGAAGAATACATGTTCTTCTTCTGACAATGAGATTCAGTGTGCCCTGCAACATCACAAAACTTACAAAGCATATAAGATTTTATGGCAGGATTTTTCCGGCAGCATGATTGAGAGTGACCATCAAGTTTGCAAAAATTGCAATGATAAAAAGGCTTCTGAGATGATGATTGATTAGCAGCCATGACTGACTGGTCAAGAGATATAGTGATTGTAGGGTGAAGAGAGGCTTGAAAGGAGGTTAACAGAGACCAGTGTAGGCTCTGATACCATGTAAAATAATATCTCGTATATTTGTGTGTTTGTAATACAGAAGAAGGCCAATATATAAAGCCAATAAGACTACTTAAGGAAGGTAATTTAAATCCTATGTTAAAGTCACTAATTTGTACAAACCTTAACAGAGAAGTTGACTATTCCTATACAAGGTAACAAATAATGTACAATATATTTTGTAATCTTTCCATATCTTCAATAAAGATAATCGTATTGCATTGACAGGGTGGGCTAGTGGCAGAAAGGCGAATCGCGTAATTGTATGCAATTGTATGCAAAAGATACAAAGCAAATCGCGTTGACGCCAGAAAGGCATTTGACAGGGCTAGTAACGTTTAAGACTTCCATTGACATTTGACATCCATTTGAGTTGAGTACAATGGACTGCAGTCATGTATGTGGTCTTACATAAAGGTCTGCTGAGTTCAATACTGTCCGTTTAGGTTCACTACTATACAATTCACATAGATAGGACAAGTAAAAGAATTGGATTATTGATCTGTTGTAAACAGTTGGACTCCATTCCAAGATTGTGCTAACGAAATCTATGCCAAGATTGTGCTTTTCTTTTTTACGCCAAGATCACATGTTTATGTAGTACTTAACTTGATTGCAATTTTATTTTTTATTTTTACATATATTTCTTGCAAAATATCTATACAATAGACTTCGTTCGGTCCCTGATATTCGCATTTGTGGTCCAGCCCCCTCAGAACACGTCTTTTGCGCTGCTCTGTGTTCTTTCAACGTCTAAAATATACACCCTACATATCTGGAAACTTTTCTTGGGCAACAGGTATGGAAGGAAACAGAGTTATGTGATCCCAGCATGAAGTGGCTATCCAATCAGGTCACCATTATGCGCAACCCCTTCATTGGCATTTAGGAGTGAGTGCAAGGGCACGGGCAAGTCTTCACTCGTACAACACTGTCGAGGATATTGATGACTTTATTCAGGCCCTCAATGAAACAGTCAGCTTCTTTAATTCTTTCAAGTAGGGGCTTGTACACTTCCCATCCTTGCAGCCTTCTGTAAATTTTGTATAAACTTTTCTACGGACACACACCGTAAGCTTATACGATCTGAGTATAGTTTGTGCAATAATCTGTTAAGACTTGAGAGGGATTCTTATTTTCAATTCAATAGTTTGTCTCACCTTGACCTTGAAAACTTACTTTGACTTATCTTGTCTCATGAAACTAATTCTAGTGTCTCACTTAAACTTTATCCTTAAATCTGTCAAAAAATCTGTTAAATTACTTCCCAAAGACAAAATTTATTGCTTCCCCATGATAACCATGGTGGTCTTGAAGAAAGAAGGCTACGCAAAAGCAGAAGAAAATTAGAGAAAAAGAAACTTCTAGTCTAGAAAAGAATAAGAAAAACGAAAAGGAGATGAGAAGTTGCAGGACCTGCAACTTTTCTTTCTTTTTTGGTTCATAACGTGGCAAATACAATGATTAAAGCTATATGAATTGGAACAGATGTTGACTATTCAAATGTGCACAAGGAATCTTAGTATTTAAATATTGTAAGGAATGAATCATTTAGCTTTAATCTTTAGTTTCAATTGCAGAAAGCTATGTGTAATATCACTCATGTCTTTTTGTTTAATTTAATTAATTTGTGTTTCAATTGCAAAAACCTTCAGTTCATCTACTAGTCCTATGTCAAACGTAAGTTCAACTCCTACACCAACCTCTGCACAAACTGTGGATATTTCATCAAATGCTATTTCCTCACTTCCACCACAGAATAACTTAAAAAGAAAAGCTGCAGCTCGGTCTAATGTGTGGGAACATTTTGATAAGATAAAGAAGGAAGAATGTACAAATGATGATGAACCTAGGTGCATATGTAAGTACTGTAAGCAAGATTATGGATGTGACTCCCGTAATGGTACTTCTTCTTTATGGTATCATTTAAAGATTACATGTAGGACATCTCCACTTAGAGATGCCAAAAGTCAAAAACTCTTATCATTTGGCAAGGAGGATAAGAGTAGTATAGCGAGTTGGTCCTTTAGTAAGGAGAGATCTAGACTTGCATGTGCACGGATGATTATTCGTGATGAGCTTCCATTTAGCCATGTAGAGAATGTGGGGTTTAGAGATTTAATGCAAGAAGTCCAACCAAAGTTTGATCCACCAT